AAGGTAATAAATTTTACTTACTTGTTGATCTAAATGAGGCACATGAACATTTTGGGCTCAATCATAACTATAATGAGCAGTAGCATCAATACTGCAATATTGTGTTTTACCCTTTGAATATTTTTGGTTAACCAGTTTTCTTTGTTCTTCTGCTAATTTTGTATTTTTATTATAATAATTTCTTTCTACTTTGGCCTTGGATAGATGTTCTTTAAACCTTTTGAGTAAATCTTTAGCTTCTTCTTCTTGGCAAGCATTGTAATGTAAACCATCTCTAAAATGTTGACAAGTATCACATAGATCAGTCCTTGGACTCATAATTTGAATTTCTGGTGTTAATTGATGTCATAATTTTCTGAAAGCATCATATTTTAAGGATTTCAATTTGTTATTTTCTTCTAGACCAGCTAGAAAATCTTTGTGGACTGATTTATAACTCATTTCAGCTGGTAAAAATATAACTGATTGGGTTATTCTATTGATACTTCTGCCTGAACTTGGTAATCCATGAACTTCTGCATAATTTTCCAGAAAATTCTTTACTACTTCTGCAACATTTTTATCAATCACCATTTTAGTTTTTCACTGAGGTATTCTTTTAATATTGCCATAAATTCTTGGCAGGAGGCCATTGTTTATCAAATGATTTCTAATATTTTCAAAATAAGTTCTACCAATTCCTAACATATTGAGATAAGTTTCTTGACAAAGAGGTGTATCATGATCCCAATGGTAGAAAGTTCTTTTATTAGATCTAGTTTTCTTTTTAAGGCGTTTACTAGTGCTTATTGATCCACCATCTATTGCCTTAAGTTGGGCCATTAAAAATATGTCTTGCTCTATTTTAGAGAGAGCTTGAAAGGATTCCCTTAATTCAGCAAATTGTTTTTTAGGAATTCTTGAAGAACAACCACATTTACAACCTTTTTCCAAAAAATCAATTACTTTTTGATATTCAGCAGAACCATTATATTTATTATTATTTTCCATATATACACTTATCCCTATATATATATTTTGTGTTCACTTTGTAGTTTTTTTATAAAATTAAAGAAAAGTATATGAATGGAATTAAACTTAGATGAACCAATGAAATAGTTTTAGGTAAATGATTTAAAAGATATGATTGTTCAGCACTTATGAAAAGAAATTGAAAATTTGATCAATTGGCTTCATGAAAAATAATCATGGTAGATTTAAATTGACCTATCATCAATAATCAAAATGGTCAATAAATAAAATAATAAAAAATTAATTATGAATTTTTCACATATTGTCGATCATAAACATATCAGTTATTATTGTTGTAACAAATCACATGCAGTGATTTATAAATTTATTTTGTTTACTTTTTATAGATGTAAATTTAATTAATTTTGATGTTACACGATTTATTCAAGATAATCAATAATAATAGTTTATTTATATTTTTATTATTTATATAATGCATAGATTTATTCAAAATTTTGAGTTTATTAGCGTTGAGAACAAATAGTTAAACCACCAGATGAAAATTTTGTAAATAAAATTCATAATTTTAATGGATGCAACTCCTGGAAATATGATGAAAAAACATATTGGAGATAAAAAAAACCAAGTGATCTGTCGACTCAAACGGTCTAATTTAATTAGATATGGGGAGTATTTGTTCTTTTAAATTGTTTATTGTATGTTTATTATGTAATCATTCGAAATAACTAATAAAAAATAATAATATCATTATAAAAAAAGGATCATATGCAGGCTACAATGTAATAAAAATTTTTGTTTTCCGATGCACACCTCACACCCTACACCACATAGTTAAAATAAGAAGTCTGAAGCTTTATTATTTTTTCAATACAATAGCTAACTATTACAAGACTATTAACAGAGGCATATTAACTTCCACTTACTCTTGTACATAAAAATTCAAGATCATCGTCGCCTTGTTTGTTACATTTAATAAACAACTATTCCCCCAAAAAAGCACACAATCAATGTTCACATACTTTACTTTCCATTTCTTCGATCGCGGTTAATACTTGAGATTTTTGAGATTTATTTTTTGGTGTCCACCACGGTTCGTGAATAAATTTTGATTTGCATTGTGTTGATTTTTCATCATCAACTTTGAAGATATCCTTGAGTAAGTTACGCCCATGCAATTCATAAAACATTTTATTGACATTTTCATATATTTCCTGTGCAAGATGTTTAAATTAGATGTCATTTTCTTCAATGTTAAGATAGGGAAAAACTTATTCTTAATTCTCAATCAACCAACTTTTAGTACTTACCATTACATGGTTAAAAATTTTTATTGTTGATTTTAATTTTCCGATGTGTGCCAATTTGGTTGGTAACTCAAATGTTGAGCCGGGAAAAACAACATAGAATCCATTTACCAGGCCTTCTACTAATAGTTGTCCACAAACTCCAGCAATTTGCAAAAATGGAACCTTGATCATGTTCACTTGTTCATCAGTCAACTCACAGCTCAACAGGCCATTCAAAATTGATTGGTTGATTCTAGCTGAGCGACAACGATCTCTAATTGCTTTTTCTGGAGTTGCTTTAGCAGCAAACTCCCATTCACCAAGATCTATTCCTGCAGGACTTAAAAACCGGACATCGCACTTACGACCCTTCTCATAACTTGTGGATTGGCTCAAAGGACAAAACGATTCGCCCCTAATGCACAAAAATATTCATAAGTTTAAATGCTTGTTAGAGTCCAAAAAATATTCTTTGTTTACCATTTACAATGTATTCCATCTCTATTTTGCAACCCTTCAACGATATAAGTACATGCTTTTACAATAACATCAATTTCAGTGTGATATTCACCACCACAATCTAACAGATCATTTCTATCTCTGACCTTAAAAAGGCTATACGGGCAAATTAGAAAGATAAATAAAGGCAAGTTACAAAATAATAAAATGAATACAAGTACTCACAAATCACTATAAATTTTAGTTATTTTATAAAGACAAGTACGGGCAGGTGCATCTGCATGCTGATTGAGACAATATTTGTATGCTCCATTGACATTGCCTTCCTTTACCATCTACATACAAGTATAAAATAAATTTATGTGTTATTAAATGAAATGAGAAAGATTAAAATACACATATATATGCCTACCTTTTCCACCTTTGCAATAAACTCATTTACGTCTTCCGTCAACTCGGAAACTTTGAGAATTTCTTCGTAGTCCTTCATCATATTCTGACGTTCACTGACAGAAAACCACGCCCGCATATGTGCCGAAAGATCGATTATTCTTGACATGCTATATCTCAGGGTAGCTTTCTCCGCTGCAGTTAATTTCCCCTTGCTTTTTAAGGTTTCTGCATGTCGAGATACATTTTCAGCAAAAATGTCTTTAACGAATTTTCCTGAGGGTAACCTCCAATTCTGTATGTTGGTCGGTACAGAACTGAAAACACTATCCAAAGCAGGAATTTCTTCATCATCGTCGTCATCACTATCACATATAGATATTATTGGAGGATCACTATCTTCATTAGACACTGAAGTGAAATCTGGTGGTGATGGTGGCGGTGGTAATACTGAGCCATCAGGAAGGACATTTCCAGCAACCTTCTTGAGTCTTTTCCGTTCTCTTTCTACTGACTCAAAATCCATCTCGGAATACACTTGGAATCCTTTTCGCGCTATATTCAAGCCATCTCGAATGCCTATCTTCTACAATAAAGAAATTCGTAAGAACAAGCTGTTAATAAATATCAGAAATTCATAAAACCCTTACTTTATCAATAGCTAACTCTGTCGATCAATTGAGATTCAATTCCTAATGACCTAAATTTATCGCGTCTCTCCCATATTCTTTTGTTTTCCTTGTCTTTATTGATAAACTACACAAAAAAAATTAATTTTAGCATTTATTTATAAATTGAAAAATCGAACAAACTTGACAAGAAGGAAGGGTCAAAGCATTAGATGGGAAGGAAGTTCACAAGAAGCAACGGACGCTACGCCCTTCCAGATGACACGCGGGCCAACGAGTTCAGCTTAAGAGAAGCATTCCTTGTTTGTGCACACGGCCCCAAACCAAACGTTTCCATAACCACGCATACGCGGACGCTACCCGTCAGTTTTACACGCAGGCAAAACCTTCTCAACACGCAGGCTGCCGGATTAGCCAAGGAGTACGCTTGCACCATCTATTTACTATAACCTTATTGGTAGGATGTTTGGTATCCGCATGTATTTTCTTCAGATGCCTTATTTCTTCAGACAAGGCCAGATGAGAGTTATGTGGGGTCGCTAAATGTGGTTGCTTTTCGATCCAATATATATCCCAATCATTCACGTTCCAGGTGTCAGGACTCCGATCCCAGTATTCTGAAAATAGTCAGGATGCTCATATTCAAGATTTGTATTCCTCTTTTATCAAATATGAAAATAATAGACGCACCTGGATATCTCAACTTCGAAACATTTTCTTCTGACATATTGTATTGAAAAAAAAAAAAAATTCAAAAAAGTTTTTAAGGGGTAGATCACAGTGCAGATCATATTCAAAAGTTAAAAAATTTGAAATATTATATGTCGGATTTTAAAAAAATTACCAACATTCAAATCAGCTTTAAAAATGAATCAATTCATGTAAAAAAATTTTGTCTCAAATTTTCTTTTCATAGATTTTTTTAAATTCAAGAGCTATGTTCAGAAATGCAATTAATGATTATAGATGATCTGCACCGTATCACAATAAAACATGCAGTCCCGAAATAAAAATTGTACATGATTTTTAAGGATTCATTATTTTTTGATAAGACAAAAATAGCTAATACACAGAGTGCACTTTCTCTGAAAGATAATTTCTTACAAAAAAATTGTAGTTGTATACTCCCTTTACTTTGGCTCTACCGGTAAAAAAACTATTTATTATCATCATTGATATTATTATTATTATTTGTAAATAAATAGTAATTTCAATGATTTTTCTTTTAAAAATATCAATAATTCTCTACAAATAAAATGATCATTATTTATTTGTTTATCTGTTTCAGTTGATCAATAAATCTCAGGTCTCAAGATAAATTAATTTCATATTAACTATTTTTATCTAAAAGTAATCCTATGTATCACAAATGGGATATTATAAAATTGTAATTATAATTGCATTAAAGATAACTAAACTTTGATCCCTGAAATCCTTGGTAACACTAATGTTCACTTTGTCTGGTTTTGTTGCAGTATGCCCCATATGGTTTTTTACTTTGCTCATTAACTAATAAATAATTATAGGCTCAAGGTTTGGAAATCGTTAAAATATGATGCATATATAAAGAAGGAGAAATTGATAAATGAAGGATCATATGTTTGTGAGGTGCTTGCGTTATTATCAAATATAGTGACCTGATAGCATGGGATATATGGTAGGCTTAACTCAAAAAGTTTCATTACTTCACTATCATATCTGCTATAATTAATGTTTTCTAAATTAAGGGGTGAAGAAGAGAATTCAGCTAGTGCCATACAAAAAGGTTCTCATAAATTTGCCCGAAGGGCTGATTATATAATGGTAGCCCAGTTCAAAAAAAATGCTGAACTTGAAATTGTTTATCTTGAGACCGGTAGACCTAATTCCAGTCAAGATAAGCAAGATCATGATCACAAAAAATTAATACATTTTTTCAAGGATTTTATTGACATTATGAGAAATATAAAAAACCTTAAAAAGATATTTAACTAACCATCAAGGAGACAGAATCTGACTATATTCACTATTAATATCGCAGGTACCAATAAATTATTTCTATTTTTCTATATATTCATAAATTGTTCATATTTTACT